GCATGGATAGTAAGAGGAGAATCCACAGTGGAGCAGGCTGAAGAAGAGGGAACTAGTTGATAGAGGCCCTGAGACTCACATCCTTTGGTAATCTCCTTCTCCGAACTCCGATCCTGAAAGATGACAGAGGTTTTAGTAAAAGAAACAACACAGTCAATGGATTTGGTCAAACGACTAACAGAAAGTAAGTTAAAAGGGGAATCGGGCACATATAGAACATGATCCAGAGATAAATTGGGTAAAAGAAGAACCGTGTCAATTCCCTTTGATTGGACCAGAGACCCATTGGCCATAGTAATAGTGGGAAAAGAACCAGTAGTACACAGGAAAGTGAATAAGGACTTATTACCAGAAATGTGATCAGAAGCCCCAGAATCAAGAGTCCAAGGGCCTATAGAGTGCAACTGAGAGATGCCAGCAAAAGAATTACCAGAGGGAGCAATGGATGCAGTAGGACCTGATGTTTGCTTTTCAGACCACCAAGTCACAAATTCATTCAGAAGAGCAGCTGGAGGTTGTGCACTAGAAGGTAACTCTGGAGCAGAGGTACTAGAGAAAGCCTGGGCAACATGAGGATTCCGAGAATGTGGAGGTGGCCTGCCATGAAGCTTCCAACAGCGGTCAACAGTATGATTGGTCTGATGACAATGAGTGCATAACAACTTTCCTTTAGAGAATCGACGTCCACGACCATACCCTTGAACAGCAAAAGCTGAAGGGTCAACATAATCTTCTCGACGTCCGCGACCATATCCTTGATCAGCAAAAGCGGAAGAGTCAACAGAATCTGCTCTACGTCCACGACCATACCCTTGAGCAGCAAGAACGGAAGAGTCAACAGAATCCACTGGGGGTATATGCATCATAGGAGGTGCTGATGACGGAGAGGGCTTAGAGGGAATTCGAAGCAAGGTAGACATCACGGAATCCAGTGTAGGAACTGTAGCAGATCCTAAAATTTGATCCCGATTGGCAGACATGGTCAGGAAAACCATATAAATTGAACAGCATAAACAGTGTATTACGTTGTTCCTGTTCCTTATTAACATCACCAGTGAGAGGTAGAAGCTCATTAAGATCATGAAGTAGACTTTGAGTTTTCCCCAAATATTCAGTCATAGGACAATTGAAGTCCCGAGGAGCAAATATAGTCATCAATTTCTGACACACACCATAGAGTCTCTGGGTATCATTGGTGTAAAGTGCTTTTGCTTGACTCCAAATAGCTTCACAAGTAACAGCAGGTCAAAAAATCTGCTTAATAGACGGATGAAGAGTAGCTTTAATGAGGCTACACAGCTGAGCATCAATCATTTTCCACCGTGTGCGCTCCTTTTCCGCCACAGATTCAGCCTTAGTGGTGAGATGGGATGTATAATTCTGCCCATCCAACCAAAGTCGCAGATCGGAAGACCAAGTATCATAGTTGGAACCATCCAATTTATCCACACTCAACGGAGCAAGGATATAATTTGAAAAAAATAACAGAGTTCGACTTTTTCTCAGCCGGAGTACCAGAGTCATTGGAGACAGGAGGGTCCATAATTAAGAGAAAAAAGTATAAAAAAAGGACAGATCACACAACTAACCGGTAGAAGAAGGATCTGACGTCAACACAAAACGAAGTCCAAACACAGAACGAGGACCAGATCCAGAACCGTCACAGGGAGACGAGGAGAACGCCACCAGCCGCGGCCGGAGAGGAGGTCTCACGCGCCGCCACGTAACACCCCGTATATATCCGGTAACATTATCATACTATCGTATTAAGCTGCGCTTAATTAAAAATGCGGAATATCTTTTTCTTTTCAATTATGAAGTCATTAACATTACCAACTTGCTTATTAATCAATTAATAAAACATCGCCTGTATGCAATTGCAATAAAACAGCTAACTGAAATACCTCATTAATTAAAATAACATAATGTACGTCTCTAGTCGCGGAACTACAACACGTAGACCGGACCACTAGCAGTTTATACAACTCGACTCAAAAGTACTAACAACATAGTGGCATGGACAACTCTCATGCTTACCCAAATAAGGCAACAAAGCCCAACATAAGTCTCAACTCAAAACATAAAGAGCAAAAAACATAAACAACATCCAATCCAGTCATGACAACAATACAACATAAATATCATAATCAGCTAAGCTCTGGCCTCCTGCCGCCAGAGGCATCAATGACCATACTACCTGAACCTGAAATAAGCATTCCCCAAACATGGGGTGAGATCTCTAAACAATAAATCTCAGTAAGGCAAGAGGTCATCAAGGATCTTCCACCTCAAGCTCACTTACATGTGCAATATAAGTTTAAAAGCAGTTCATCAATATCATTTCTAAAACAGTGCAATGCAGCAGATAATAATGTCATGTGTGTCAATTCTATTCTACTGGTCAGAGAAATGCAGGATTTATATACGTCTAATACCCACAAATAGTGCAAAACGCTACTTGCATCCACCCCGGATCACCGTCTTGTATGACGCCACATACTCAGACTTACCATCAAGATGGAACAACACAAGCATATTAAAAGCCATTAACACATAAAGCTCAACAGCATTTCATATATCAAAAGCATGTAACACAGCATGCATATAACCATACCCCCATGGGACATGGTGGAACCACAACATGTAGGGGTGTTCATCAACCGATCCAAACCGATTCAAACCGCGGTGACCGAACCGATAACCGAATAAACCGAAAATCGAAAACCGATAAAAAACCGCAAATTTTAATTGGATTGGATCGGTTTTTGGATTTTTGGATGGGTTGATGAAAACCGATCCAATCCAAACCGATCCAATATATTAATTTTCTTCTACCTACTTGGGTATTTTCCTAATCATAGCCTAAAAATTTCTAAACCCAAGACCCATTAACCCATCAACTAAACCCAAGAAAAAATCTAGTCATATCTCATCAACAAAATTTTATCTTTGTAGAGCTTCATATCTCATTGCCAAAATTAAAAAAAATTATATTATAGTTTACTAATGCTTTTGTATTTCAAAAAAAAAATTACAAAGCCAATATATACAAAAGATGTCATTTGCACAATAATCATGAAATAAATTTTAGGATTTTCAAAAAACCGAAAATCGATCCAATCCAAACCGAAAAAAATTGGATCGGATCGGATCGGATTTGAAAAAAAATCAAAACCGAATGGATGATTATATGATCAAACCGAAAGGATTGGATCAGATGATTTTTGCTTCCAAAACCAATCCAATCCAGACCGCGAACACCCCTAACAACATGGCTAAACCGAGGACACGAAAGCTTACCTTGCAAGCTAACACCCAAAGCCAAGAGTCCACAGCTCAAAGTCCAAACACAGCAGATTCACAATCTGTTATGGACCAATAATATATCAATAAACATGCACCGCAAGCATACAATATTAAGACAACGCCTTTCCATTACGTTTTACGTCTTAAGGCTTCACACAAGCCATAAGCCCTTAATCATATGATTCTTACTCACATTAATTAATTACAGAAGTTCAACTTCCTCAAACTAGGGTCCACAAACCCATAGATCAGTTCTGGATGAACAGTACGCTATTGTTCCTCACAAACCCAGAATATCTGGATATTCCTCGGGGACATATCCGGATATCCAATATCCAGATATCTCACAGGCAATATCCGGATATCACTCTGGCAATATCCGGATATCACTATCCGGATATCCAGATCCCCATATCCGTATATTCCACGGCAAATATCCGGATATTTCGCGACAGAATGCAGTTTCTGCATTTCGCGAAGATATCCTTCCAAGGTTCCATTTTTAACATTTCCAGAAGCTAAAACATGCATCTTAAGGTCCATTTAGGTTCACATGACAGTTGGTTACTTGTTTAATTCATTAAATATGCCAAGACTTCATCTTTAAGCAACAAAACTCAATACCAAGGTTGGTACAACTTACCAAAGCTTAAACTCATCAAAATGGGTGCTCTTGGAGCTCACACAACAGCTCCAAGGTACTGACTTCAATGGAGAGCGAAAATGCTACCAAAGCTTGGCCCTTTCCTCACAAAGGAAGCTTCTTGGAGCCTCCACACACAAGACAAAGGCCCCAACCTCACAACTCAGAAAACTCAGCACCTTAACCTCACAAGGCAGCTCACCCAACTCATAAAAGAAGCTCTCAACACACTCATCAAAGTGTTTCCCACTCACCTAAGGTGTTTACAAGGAGAAAGTGTGAAGAAATCAAAGAAAAGAGGTGGCTTGAAGGTGTTTCATGCAAAGGTGACCAAGGAGAAGGGTGGCAGCAGCCAAGCTCTCAAAATGTCACGTAGGAGGCACCATTTCTGACCTAGAAATGTGTGCCATGGCCTTATATAGGCCCACTTAAGCCTTAAACACACAGTATTAATTTTAATTGCTACGCTTAGTATTTTAATCCTAAACTTTGGATCTTAACCTACTCAAATTTACAAGAATTATCATATTTTTCTTATAATTTTTGGAGCATCTTTCCGGTACGCGCTTTTCATAGCCAGTACCAGTTTCTGACACTGTTCTCATTATTTTGACTTGAAAATCGTTTTACAAGTCCTACATATTATTCTAGTAATTATCATGCACTTATTATAATTTTTCGGGATACTTTTTCGGTATGTATTTATACCGACTAGCAGAACAGGTATCTGTACTTTTCTTCCGAAAGGCGACTTTCAGCATTCTTACTCACTTACTATAATTATTAGAGCCTTATAATAATTATACGGTCAATTATGAAATTATTTTTTAATTTCATATAATTAATTAATTAACTTTCTTAATTAACTGTGCAACTTATCAGCGAAGACACGCTCTCAATCTCTCTCTTTTCATTCTCCATATATATGTATATATATATAACATTGAATCATAGTGGCTTTCTCTATCTGACACGCGGGCATAGACATAAACAAGTTGGAACCTCTCTGATGTGTTACTTTATAAGCTCATAGCTTCAGGAATCAGCAGAGTTATGGCAGAAAACAAAGACGAAACCTGTTCTGAAAGTTCTGTATCTTCACCAGGTTCAAGCTTACCTATGGGTAATAAGTGCATAGACATGTTTGATAGATTATGCAGTTGTAACACTTTGTGGAAGAAAAGCAGCACCCCAAGAGGTCGAAGAACTTTCCAGAGCGATGTGGAAAAAGAAGAATTCCAGTATGCTAGTAGTCATTGTCTCTCATCCTACTATAGTGTGTTTGTGGTTCGACTAGCAATCATGGTCAGTGAATTCTTCACAACACCCATCTTATGAAGTTAAATTTTGGTCTCTAAATTTGTTATTTGCTGCAGTTACGTAATGGTTGATATGTAGAAAGATATTCTTACTGCTATTGGAAATTACATAAATGAGGCATAGTCCATAGACATGGCTAAACTGCCATGAAAAATTAAGAGAACTAGCGGTGAAGAAAAAGGCTACTAGATGAGACCCTTCTTTGAAGAAGATTAGAAAGTGAAACCTATGTTGTTGATCTAACCAACCCTTATTTTGTTTTATGCAGGTCATGCTAGCCATCTTGATAGGGCTGCTTACTATACTGACATGGCATTTCACGAAGATTTATACAAGAAAATCACTTAATAGCTTGGCATATGGTCTGCGTTATGAACTTCTGCAACGTCCCATCTTGCGTATGTGGAACATTTTGAACTCTACTGCTGAAATTACAAATGCTCAGGTCAGGCTTTCCCAGTATGTGATCAGACGTTATAGCAACCCTGCAACTCAAGCAGAGCAAGTTGAGGTTGACTCTTAATTTATTATTCATTACGCTCTTATATTAGAAGGTGAGCCGAGAAGTAGCAATAAGGTTGCTCCTTGTGACCGGAAGGTCACAGGTTCGAGTATGAGAGAAATAGCAGCTATACAAAAATGTAAAGATAAGACTCTGTACAATCGACCCTCGTCCTTATCTTTGCAAGTTGAGGAGTCTTGTACGCCGAGATTTGTTCTTTACTATGCTCTTATTTTATCAATATATATGTATATAACTTCCTGTGCTATTATTGTTTGAGACCATATTAGCACTTGTCATATTAACCAATGATTCCTTGTTTATTTCTAATGTTTCAACTCTATCATCTATATATATGTACACACACATACACACTCTTTATTTGCTATTATTGTTTGAAACCATGTTAGCACTTGTCTTGTTAACCGATTATTTCTTGCTTATTTGTAATGTTCAAACTCTAGCAGCTGTATGAAGCGATGAGGGCTGTGACATGGGCGCTGTTTGCTAGTAGAAAAGCTCTCAACTCAATAACTATCAATTATAAGAATGGATTTGTGCAGGCATTCCATAGAGATCTGAAGGATAACAATACATTTTACATCTACTCTGATCTTGCAAATTACTCCATAGGTGCCAGCAACTCTAACGAAATCAATTCCTTTTCAACACATCAAGCTTGGGAAGATAAAGCCATTCATGGTAACTATTCTGCCATTTGGTACCGCGAACCACTTGATCCTATCAGTGGCGAGAAGATAGGAAAAGCTATGCAAATTGCACCTGAAGACTTAATCAACATAGCTGGCCTTTCCCAAGTACCTGATGGTGTAGCTTCATGGCATGTTGCAGTGAGCAAGTTTACAGATTCACCATTGCTTTCAGCAGCATTGCCAGTTTGGGACTCTTCTAATAAGAGTATCATGGCAGTTGTGGGTGTCACAACTGCACTTTATAGTGTAGGACAGCTAATGAGAGAACTAGTTGAGTTGCATAGTGGCCATATGTATTTGACTTCCCAAGAAGGTTACTTACTTGCAACTTCCACAAGTGCACCTCTGCTCACAAATTCAACAAAGCCTCCCAAGCTTAAGATGGCTGTTGACTGTGAAGATGATGTAATAAAACTGGGAGCCGAATGGTTACAGAGAACTTATGGGAACAATTTTCCTCCAAGTCATGAGGTTCATGTAGAGAATGCCATGCTAGGCAACCAGCAATATTACATTGACTCATTCTTCCTAAACTTGAAGAGACTTCCTTTGGTAAAATTTCAAGATACTGCACCTGTTCCTTACATTTGATCTTATTGAACATTACTTTTAAAATTTAAAAATATCTGTTGATGATAAAGAAGATTTTTTTTTTTAATAGTTCTATTAAGCATAAATTCCAGGAAAAATTTCTGCCTCTATTTTATTTCTGTTTTGAGTAAAACAAATATCCTGTTATACTTTTTGAGTGTCTATGAATTAATGACTTAAACTTTGTGCAGGTAGGTGTAATTATCATACCAAGAAAGTATATCATGGGGAAGGTAGATGAAAGAGCATTCAAAACGTTGGTTATTCTGATATCAGCCTCATTATGTATTTTAGTCATTGGGTGTGTTTGCATTTTGATATTGACAAACGGAGTATCAAAGGAAATGAATCTAAGAGCTGAACTGATAAATCAACTGGAAGCAAGAAGGAAGGCAGAGGCATCAAGCAATTATAAAAGTCAATTCCTTGCAAACATGAGGTTAGTTTTTCAAATTCAGTTTTGGAAATACATACAATAAGAGCTTGCTTTATCCAATTTATGATCTAAAGTTTTTAATTTAGAGATCTAGGAACAATATATCCATCAGCCGATCAATGGCTTCAAGGAATCTGAGGCATATACGTTTACATATTTTATGTATTTCCAAAACTGAATTGTGTTTTGAGGCATATAACACTGGAAAGCTACTCTAAAAGCCTATCTTTGTTATTTGCTTTATGAGTCTAAGATGATCTTTCCTTTGAGCATTCACAAATGTGTTTCATGGTTTTTTTTTTCTTGGGTGTATTACAGTCATGAACTGAGGACACCTATGGCAGCAGTAATCGGGTTGCTTGACATTCTTATATCTGATGACTGTCTCACAAATGAACAATACTCAACAGTTACTCAAATAAGAAAATGCTCAACTGCTCTGCTACGTCTTCTTAACAACATATTGGATCTGAGCAAGGTGAGTATAAGCTAAGCCTTTTGCTCAAGAATATTTGAAAACCAATTCCAAGTTCATTTACCATTGTAATAAAACCGCACTTCTGCCAAAAAGCTTCCTCATATTTTATTGCATTTAGGTGGAATCTGGAAAACTGGTCCTAGAATATGCAGAATTTGATTTGGGACGGGAACTTGAAGGGCTTGTAGATATGTTTTCTGTCCAATGCATCAACCACAATGTAGAGACGGTTTTAGACCTATCTGGTATGAATCTCATTTTGATGATTAGAAGTTCTCTTAACAAGTTTCTGATGCATCTAGCCTATAATTTTTCTGCAGATGATATGCCAAAGGTAGTTCGCGGTGATTCTGCTAGGGTAGTTCAAATATTTGCAAATTTGATCAACAATTCAATCAAGTTTACTCCATGTAAGTCAATTTTTTTATGGTCTAATTTTGTTACAATAGTGGAGTGCGAACCTTGGAGCATAGATGAAAGGCTTCTTCTTTTCAGGCATGTTTCTCTTATGAGGAGTAATACATAATAACTGGACTACAATGTGAGAGTTAGTTTTGGTTGTTTTGTAGTTAGCTCCTACTGTGTGTAAATTGTCAATCATTTGTGGTGTTTCTGAACCCTAATCTTTTCTTCTCTGACAATTTTATTTAATTTTCTTTGACAATGTATTGCAATTATTCTTTTGAGTTTATTCAATTTTTTCGAGAATAAGTGTCATTTATTTAAATAAATTTAGTTTTGTGTGCAAGCATCAAATGAAAGCCATTCAAATATAAAAGGAAAAAATGTGATTGTCTGATCTGATTTTGCTGAAGAAACTTGTGATCATGTCAATATTAATTAGCATGTTCCTTGAGAATCGAAGAATTATTAAATGGGTCAATTATTATGAATCAATAAAGCACTGAAACTCTGAAAAAAGACTAATCTAAACTCTTTCAAATGTATTGCAGCGGGTCACATTATTCTGCGAGGATGGTGTGAAAACCTAAACTCTTGCACTGATAGTCCAAATTTTCCTCTTGACCTGAAGAAATCACGGAGTTTACAAAAGAGCAGAGAGAAGCCAAATTCAAACCACGCAAAGAGAACATCTATAAGAGATAACAAACTGATACTTTGGTTTGAAGTTGATGACACAGGCTGTGGTATGAACCTTAAAACTTGTTTGTAAAAATTACATTGAGAACCGTTCCTTTTGTGTCAAAATAAAAACAAATTTAAAGATTAATCACTATGATTTGCTTCCTGATATGTGATATAGGTATTGACCCAAGTAAATGGGATTCTGTGTTTGAAAGCTTTGAGCAAGCTGATCCATCAACTACTCGACTGTAAGTAATTTAAATTTTTAACAATGACAAGATAGAAGTCTTTTAGGAGTTACATTTTAGCTAACTAATAATCATGATATTATTATGAGATTGTCATTAAACTTCAAAATTAGTACGAAACTTATATCCAATATTTTAAGAACTTTTTAAATGCTATGGACTTAAGATTTATGTAGTTTTGAAACCTTTACTCATTTCAGGCATGGAGGCACTGGTCTTGGTCTTTGCATTGTCAGAAACTTGGTGAGTAACACCCTTAATGTGCAAAGTTTCACATAAGTAAAGTACAATCACCATTCATAATGCATGGGTTTGATGAATGACACTAGATGTGTCTGCTTGTTTTAAACTAAAAAATAAAAAAAATAAAAAATAGTATCTTGTTCAGTAAACAAGAGCACTGCCTTTTATTTTAGAAGAGTATGGTTTCATATCAACAAGGTTTATCAGTTCCTTCTGTATATGTCCTTTTCTCTTCTAAAACAAATTGTGAGTTTGCTTACTTGAATATAGTTTCATTTCATCTCATTACTAATCTGGGGTGGCAGGTTAATAAGATGGGTGGAGATATCAAGGTTGTCAAAAAGGAGGGCCCAGGAACACTGATGCGATTATGCTTGCTACTCAATGCACCCATGGATGTCACAGAACAACATTGTGCAGTAGATTTGACAGATAGTGGCTTCGTGGTGAGCAGAATCACTTTTCTTGGTGAATAATATTTAAAATATCATATATTATATGCTTGTGTGCGTGTCTACGTATGTAAGAATATACTTTTATCAATTAATGCTGACTTTTGTATGGACTTTTTAAAATTATATTTAATTAATGTTGAAAAATGTGCATTTCACTAAAAGCAAGTGCATTCATGGACATTTTAATCGGACCCTATACATTCAGTAACATAAGATCACTGCAAGGATAATAAGCAGGGTCTTAAATAATAAGAATGTCAATGCAGGTACTGCTTGCACTGCACGGCAACATGGGTCGAGTAATTACATCCAAGTGGTTACAGAAAAACGGGGTGTGCACAATGGAAGCGTCTGATTGGAATGGACTAACTCAAATTTTGAGGGAACTCTTTCATTCAAAAAGTTCAGTCCATAATAATGACTTGGATGCAAATTATCTAGTAAATGAGAGATTGAATTCTAAACTACTCAACATTCAAGATATGAGGAACCCGACTTTTGTCATTGTTGTTGACATTGAGCTACTTGACTTGAGCACAGATATATGGAAGGAACAGCTTAACTTCCTTCACAGGTACTTTGGGAGAGCAAAGTTTGTATGGATGCTAAATCATGACACCTCCAATACCATAAAGATGGAGCTCCGTAGGAAAGGGCATATCCTCATGGTCAACAAACCACTTTACAAAGCAAAAATGATTCATATTCTGGAAGCTGTCATAAAGGAAAGAAATCTTGAGCTACAAAAGAAAAACATGACTGCTCCTAGGACCACAATGAAAGAGGGTGATTTGCACGAGTTTCTTGAGATTGATTCAACTCATTTTGATGTTGCTAGCTCTGATGATTCTGACATATCTGAAAAGGTTGGTTCAAATCCTGTAAGTGCCAGTGGAGACAAACCAATTGAAAATCCACCATCACCAGATCAGATGAATAACGGCTTTGTTAGATTAACCAATGAATATTTACAAGACAATAATTTGAGGGAAGAAGAGTCTTGTCAGAGTAACCCCAATTCCAATGATGCCACTGAAGACACCAAACCTAAATCACTGTCCACTAAAGAAGCATCCTTTCCAGCAGAAGCTCAAGATGAAGATTCTGAATGTGGAGCAACACATAGGATCACCAGCTCAAGTAAAGCAATAAATGGAAAGAAATCTCTCGAGGGCCTAAGGATTTTGCTTGCAGAAGATACACCAGTAATTCAAAGGGTTGCAACCATAATGCTTGAAAAAATGGGAGCTGCTGTTGTTGCTGTAGGAGATGGACAACAAGCAGTAGATGCTCTCAATTGCAAGCTCGATGCTGAAGATTGTACAAGGGAGTCTCTCCAAAAGGAAAGAAACACAAGATCTCAAACAGAGATTTTGACTTACCCTCCATATGACTTGATCCTAATGGATTGTCAGGTATGAGCTAGAATATATACATATATAGTAGGTAACTTTTTTTTAACAATAAGTGAAAATCCTCTTAAATGTTCTGATTCTTCATGTCTTTGTGGAAAATAAGATGCCAAAGATGGATGGCTATGAGGCAACAAAAGCAATCAGGAAATCAGAAGTGGGAACAGGCTTGCACATTCCCATTGTTGCTCTTACAGCCCATGCAATGTCATGTGATGAAGCCAAATGCCTTGAGGTGGGCATGGATGCTTACTTAACTAAGCCAATTGACTTCAAGATGATGGTGTCCACCATTCTTTCACTCACTAAAAGATCATCTTGAATTCTCACTTAAAGCCCAAGCAAACAGTGGATGGCTTAGGCAGCTTAGATATGCATAGTAAGTTTACCACATGTTAACATCGGAAATCATAGCTTGACCCATGTATTGTAGAAACGTAGTCCAATTTTCCTGACTTAACTCACTTGTACAAGTAAATGGCTGAAGTTTAGTGCTCTTTTTCTGTGTGCTTTATGACTGCACTGTGAAGAAGGAAAAACTTTATTTTCACCCAGTTACCAACTTCTATTTACATACTGCCAAATGAAATAAATAAATGTATTAAGGCAGAAGGAGTATGGGTCCTCTTCTCAATGAATCTTTGTCATGTAATTGTAAGAATCTACTTTGAATTATTTTTCCCCACTTCCATCTCATTAGATGCAAGGCCAGTAAATAGAATATCAAATTGATATCATTGTCATACACTTTACATACAACCAATGACATGGAATAAATTATCTAACTTACAATAAGCAATAATTTCTTTGTTTATAACATATGCGATAGCTAATATTATGATCAATTTAATTTTTTTATAATAAAGGGAAAATTGCAATTACATCACTGAGGAGTGTATTTTCTTGGGTAGGTTTTGAATATGAAAGGGGAAAGAGAGTAGGAAAAGAAACATCACGTGATACCCATGTGAGTTTGACCATCATTTAGATGTGACAATAATTTGAATGAAAATCATAATTACTACCATATGCATAATTAAGGAATATAATTTCTACTTTATATTGTTTAGATGGTTATTTACAACAACTCACTCAAAGTTTAAGGGGTATATATTTTTTTCTTATAAAACATTATCTATTTTCCACGTTGTATTCTGTTGGGCTTCCTCCTTCAATGCTAAGCCTAAGTTCATTAAGGGGTTTCCTAAAAATCCTAAATCTAGATCTCACATCCTCTATATATTAATTAGTTGTGGGTGGAGGCTAGGTTAGAGATTAAGAGAGAGATTAAAAATTTGAGAGAAAAATTGTTTGAGGAAAGCTTTATGCTTTGTATTTGAGAGATTTCTAGAGAGAGTTTGTGTGAAACTTCTCTAGGGAGGTTTGATTATCATCATTGTTGGAGAGGTTGAGTTAACCATCACATTGGTGAATTTGATTATTTGTAACCATTATTTTCATAGTGGATTTTTGTTTTGGACTAAGTCCCGTGAATTTTTACTTCTTCATTGGAAAAGGTTTTTCCATGTTATAATCTATTTGTGTTCTTCTTCTCTCTCTTCTATTTGCGTTTTTTGATTTTCCGTTGCGTTGCCCGACCTAGTGAAGTTCAGGCCGAGGTATTGTCGAAATCCAAGATCAGGATATTGTTGATTGACTTCCGCACAAAGGCTGCTTAGCCGAGCTTGAGAGAACCGAGTTCCCAACATATTCAACATTAACTATATGCAAAGGTTTTCTTTTAAAGGAATTTAATTTCTCACAATTTTATCTAATACACATATAAAATAATAATTATTATGACCCACTTAGAGGAAGAGAAATAAAAAAATAAGCGAATTTCATCCAATTTTTTTTATATATAAAATAATTTTGTTTCGTCCAAACTAGAAATTATATTCCTACTAATAAAACATATCTAAATTTTTTTAAAATAATGTTTATAAAAAAAGTGTATATAATAAAAAAATGGCTAAATTACAATTTACCCTCTTATACTTTAGTTGTATTTCAAAATACCCTTTTATACTTTCAATTAAATCAATTTACATGCTTTTACTTTCAACATTCAACAATTAAACATTCAACAATTAACTATATCTGTTAAAATTTCATCCATCTCCGTTAGAATATCAAATGACCCAATCTTTCACACCTCATCCTCAATCCACCTCCGTTAAAATTTGACGTGGGTTTTCAAGAAGACAATGTAAGGTGATGTTACGTAATGAACTTTTAGGATAAGAAGGTGAAAGACTATGCCTGATAACTAAACATCATGTGTTCCCGGTTTGTGTTGTAATGGTACATCGCTGCATCTACAAGGCATTTTAGGATTTCTATCCTACCATGGTGCTTCTGAATTGTTGCAGTTGTTGGAAAATGTTAATGAATTAAAGAAAATGACATCGTTGATTTTCTTTCATAATTCGTTTTATGGCAAGACGTGGTTTTCTCTTGCAGTATTGCTGTCATCCGCAATGCGAATAATCAGGGTAGAGGGGGGTTTGGCCGTGGTCGTTGGCAGCCCGGGTTTCAAAATGATAGAGGAGCTGGTCTTCTTCCTCGTCCTGGACCTTATCCTCAGAGGCAGAATTTTGGGTATGGAAACAGGTTTCCGAATTGCCGCCACCACGATGAACAATTTGTCTCTGATATGAAGCTTCAAAGAGTGAAGAAACTCTGTCAAGAAAGTGCATTGCTTTTCAGGAGGTAGGGTAATGCCATTTTCCTATGGTTAATTTGCTTCCTGTGGATGTCTCTCATTTCTTACTATAGGGACACAAATTGTTTTTCTCATTTTGGCTTTGGAGGGAAGAAGACAATATAGAAATTTTACTCACATTACATTAACAGAATGGGATGGAATATGTAACAGAATGGGATAAAATTTTAAGAGACATGGTTAATTGATAATTTTCAAAAGTACAAGCAGGTAAATTGTTTTAATTGAAAGTATAGGAGAGTATTTTGAAACACAACTAAAGCAGGAGGCTAATTTGTAATTTAGCCTAAAAAAATTGTAGTAAAATGTATTTTCCTACTAGTAAAACATATCTAAACTTTTTTAAAATAATTTTTTTAAAAGAAAAAGAAAGAAGAAGAAGCAAAAACTAATAAAAAAAAAAAAGGAACACCCACACAGCACACTTATACTTGACTTGTTGGTTAAGAAGCAGTTCATTTTGATCGAGATTTGAATTCGAAGAGAAGCATAAGCATGGCGAGGTACGATAGAGCAATCACCGTCTTCTCACCGGACGGCCATCTCTTCCAGGTCGAATACGCACTCGAAGCTGTTCGCAAAGGCAACGCCGCCGTTGGCGTCCGCGGCACCGACAACGTCGTTCTCGGCGTCGAGAAGAAATCAACCGCCAAGCTCCAAGACTCTAGGTTTCTGAAGTTTTCCTATTTAGTTTGATTTCACCTTGCCCTAAAATTCTAATTAGGTTTGGATTGCGCTTTTTCTGTTTAAATTAGCTTTCTATAACAGATTCTCAAGGTTAAAATCCCACTTCTCTTTAGATTACGCTAAAATCTGATGTTAGGGTCCATGAGACTAGCTTCTAGGGTTTTTGAAAACTTATAAATTCGTGTGTTTAGTGCATGCTTGATTTTGCTTAATTTTTAGAGAAAAATCGCTTTTATAAGTTATTCTGAACACTAATTGGACTGTACAGTGTTTTTTTTTTTTACATCATAAAGTTTAATTTTTTTTGTTATGCAGAACGGTGAGAAAGATTGTAAATTTGGATGATCACATTGCACTTGCTTGTGCTGGACTAAAAGCCGATGCCCGTGTGCTTATAAACAGGGCAAGGGTGGAATGTCAAAGCCACAGGCTTACTGTGGAGGATCCCGTGACTGTTGAGTACATAACTCGTTACATTGCGGGTCTTCAACAAAAGTACACGCAAAGTGGTGGCGTGCGACCCTTTGGCCTTTCCACTTTGATTGTTGGCTTTGATCCATATTCCGGAACACCTGCCTTGTACCAAACGGATCCTTCAGGTACATTTTCTGCTTGGAAAGCTAACGCAACTGGAAGGAACTCAAATTCTATTCGGGAGTTCCTAGAGAAGAATTATAAAGAAACTTCTGGGCAAGAGACTCTAAAATTGGCTATCCGAGCATTGCTTGAAGTGAGTTCATTTGTTCTTTTTGTGCTGGGGAAACCATTCTCAGTTCTTTTTATTTATTTATTTATTTATTGCTGCTTTCTGCACCATTTTTTCTTGCTCAACGATGTAGTCACTGTCCTTTTCTGGTCAAGGTCTTTATCTGTGTCTCTCTTGCATATAAAATCTGTAGTCAATGGCTTGGGAGGAACTTTAAGATAATGTCTTCAGTCTATATGTTTTGTGAGGTTAATGAATTGGAATAAAAAATAAACCTTTAGAAAAGCTGGTGATTGCAAATTAGGAATCAAGTAAGGAATTTTTGGATGGATTTTGTTAGAGTGTAATATAAATCATTAAAAGGACCCTCACCCAACACCTTAAGGTTTTGGGTTGAAGTGGTTCTTTACATGGTATCAAAGCTTGAGTGACTACAAGATCACAAGTTCGATGTTCGATCCTCACCGCCCCTCACTTTAAAGCGGAATTTAAAAAAAAAAAAAAACACACAAAAAGGTAAACCAAAAATTGGGCCTGTGCAATATCCACGCTTCTAGCCCAAAGGGCTCTTGTGTGAGGAGGGGTGTTAGAGTGTAATATAAATCATTAAAAAGACCCTCACCCAACACCTTAAGGTTTTGGGTTGAAGTGGTTCTTTACAGATTAATCATCTACGTGTAAGACAGAACAAACATTCTAATGTATAGAACACAAATCATATACACTAATTTATGTAGAAATATACCCATGTTTCAATATATGATTTATGCATTAAATGTTCAATTTATAGTTTATGACATTATTAGCTTTCATGCCCTGGTTCATTGATACATTTTCTTGCAAGCTATCCAGTACATTATTTGGTATTTTATGGAAGTAAACATAACATACAGTCTCAATTTTAACTATGTCCTTCTGTTGTACTCAATTATATGATTGTCTGGAATATCATCCAAACTTGTCTGTTACTTTTTGGTTCCCAACTTCTAATCATTTTTATGATCATTTCTCTACTAGTAATTATGATACAATATATGAAAAAAAAAAATATATATGCAATCTATCTTTGAGGGATATGTGGTTAACTTGATCGAAAAGGTCTTCCTTCATTTTGGATTTTTTTTTTTTAAAGTAAAAGGTGTGAATTAGTGCAGGTAGTGTGAAGAGATTATGGCTTGTGGTTACTTAAGCTGTACATATTCTTATTTGGTTTCTGAATTTCTTATGCATTCATGGAACCAAACCACCACTTTACAAATTAACTAAATTCTGAAGACATTAATGTTGTATTTTATGAAATATTCTGGTACAATTAAGATGTTTGAAAAGTGTTGCAAAAATCCCTGCTGTAGTCTACTTTTTGCCTTGGCGCTTAATTCTCCCTTTTTTTTATTCGAAGAATTGCAGTTTAGGAATTATTGGTGAAATATTTTTTATGCTTAGGAACAATTAACCATACAAGCAGTTTACAATGTTAGAATATTGGTTGATGGGTTAACCATATATTGACTTGACTAATCACTTATTTAGTTTTTAGCGGGAAAAAAAAAAATTAGGGTGAGCGATTAGTTACCCTAATCTAGGGTCATGGTAGGCCACCTGAGCTCACTTATTTAGTTAATTGTTCCTAATTTGCAAAAAAAAATTGGGTGGAATTACTTTGTAAATCTCCCTTGTTTCTTTGAGCTCTTGCACCCGGAACTTAAGTGATCCTATTAGGGTGTATACATAATTGGGAGTTTGGGACATCTTAGGGCAATATTATAGCTTAGAAGACTAACAGTAGCATTCGAAGCACATGTCTTGTTTGCATTTGAAGCCTTTATTTTCTTGGTGTGTGGCTTGTCTATACCTTGGCTTCTTAATATAAAAAAATTGACCCCTGTTATTTTCACATTAATATGTCAAATTTTTCGTATGTTGTCAGCCAAGTGAGTAATAAAACATGGTAAGTAAATCTTATGGTTGCATGTTGACTCAGTCAGTACTATTGAAAATTGAACTGGATCAAGTAATTACTTTGGGCTAGTCATTAACTCGCTATGCTTTTTTGGAACTGGGTTTTTATAAATGTACTTTACTTCAGTTATGACTGTTTCTTGTATCTGTTGGCATTTGTAATTAGGTTGTTGAGAGTGGAGGCAAGAACATAGAAGTTGCTGTGATGACAAAGGAGCATGGTCTGCGTCAACTGGAGGAAGCTGAAATTGATGCCATTGTGGCTGAGATTGAAGCAGAGAAAGCTGCTGCAGAGGCTGCAAAGAAAGGCCCCCCTAAGGAGACATGATTTTGTTACTCTAGCGTTGTTCTTGCTAGGTATTGGGCGGACGTACTGAAGCTAAAGTTGATGCCATTGTGGCTTAGATTGAAGGAGAAATCAGCTGCTGAGGATGCAAAGAAAGCCACATATTAGGAGGCAAGATTTTCTGTTTTTGTTTTGGGTTACTCGATTATTGTTCTTGCTTGGTGTTGGCCGGACTTACAATTATTGCTGGACTTACTGTTCTGGTGTCGGATTTTGTAGTATTTGTCAAATTAATTGCACTATTCTATTAGTCAAGCCCCCAAAACCATAAGTATCTTGATTCACAAGATTTTTAATGAGAGGAATTAGGAATATAAAGCTTTTATTCCCCTATATTAAATGATCTATTTTTTTATTTAGAAGAAGAAAATTTAAATCTGTTTTTATTTTTTTGGTAAACAATTAAGGGAGGTGTATTAGATTGAGATTTCAAAAGATTTTAATGGAGAAAAATAACAGCGGAACTAAAACTCTCAAACCAATTTTCTTTTTACATCAATGAAACAATATCAATTTAAAGAAAGATTGAAACTTTCATAATATGAACCCTATATTTCGTAACAATACATTCATGAACGAAATTCCTTCACTATAAGAAATAATTTCAAACAATTTTTGTGTCAATAGATAACTAAAAACTTGTTTCTCAAAAGTCCCAAAGCAATTTAAGGTTTCAATGTATCGATTGAAAAAAAATTAAAATTTTTTCTAAACTTTCATGTAATTAAACCCAAAATTTCAGATTCATATGGTTAGAAAATTTCAAAAATTCCAAGATTTTCAAGATCAATTGCAAAAATTCCAAACAAAATTTTATCATAAACTTTAGGTTCTATATGCAAATTTAGAATTATTTTTATAATTAAAAAAAAAAGTGGGTCTTATAATCATATATGCATAGTTTTGATACCAAATGAAGAAGATAATTTTCAACCCATTAGATATGTGAAAAGTTATTGTTTAGTAATTTTGAATGTTTGTTAAAAATTATATTATGTTTTACTGATTGAGAAAATTATATTAGGTTTTATTTTTTTTATTAATTTCATTGTATTTCTTTGTTATGTTTTTATGAGGATGATATACTTACAACTTATTTTTGTTTAAAATCTTTTACAACCATATATTAACCGTTGATTTCTGTCAATCAATGGTTATTATTTTCGCAAATCAAACTCATTAATTAATATTTAATTTGCAATAAATGATAACCGTTGATTGATGAAAATCAACGGTTAAGATATGATTGTAAAATGTTGTAAACAAAAATAGGTCGTAAGTATAACTTTTCCCTTTTGTATTGACTCTTGTAATTTTGAATGTTTGTTAAAAATTCATATGGTTTTTTAAAATCTTAAAAATCTATATTGTCCTTTCAAATCTTATAAATTCTATTAAAATCCTTTAAAATCCAATCCTATGAAATCTTGATTGTAAAAAAAGTCTTTAAAGTCTCTCCAATTCTAAAATATCTTTTAAAATCTGTAGGATTTTTTATCTCAAAAAAGTCTTTTAAATCCTAATTCAATACACCCCCTGAATCTCTGTTTTATACTACGAGTATTTGGGTAAATAGACGATATTTTTTTTTTCAACGTTATCCAAATAAAAACTTCGCACCCCTGTAAGGGGATGCATTTTTTCGAAACCCTTTGTACATTCTTCTGTGATATTTATTATTTTTTTTCCAAAACGTATTTCCAAAGTTGGCCCATGCAGGTCTCGAACCTGCGACCTTCGCGTTATTAGCACGACGCTCTAACCAGCTGAGCTAATAGGCCAATTGCGAACGATACGTAATAAATATATAATATTTTAAGATGTTTCCTTTCGTTGATATTTTATACTTTCAACTTTCTTTATCATTAATCCCATCAATTCCCTGACATCGGCAATTTTCATTGGACCAATTAGTGTCTTCGGGTTATGCATATTCATTCGCTTTGACTGCTGCCGACTTATTGTCTCAACTTATTATTTCAATGTCTTGCTCACACTCTCTTTGCAACCTTTAATCTGACCTCATCTAATTATTTTAATGTGATTTCTCCTTCATCAGGTAATATTCAAATTTGATGGGTTATAGATATTGGTGCTACAGACCATATAACCCATCTCTCCTCACATTTTCATACCATTAATCAAATTGATCAAATCAATGAGTTTTTCCAATGTTAATATGGTATCAGAGCTCTGGTATTCATCTAGTTCATCTTTCTTCTTTCACTTTGTTTCTTGTTCGTTCTTTCTTCTTTCTGCATCATTCTACAGAAATGGCAAATCAAAATCCTCTTCCAGACCACCTTACAAATTCGGGGAATCCATGCTTTCTCCATCTGAGTGAAAATCCGCTCAATGGGAAAAATTATCACTCTTGGTCTCGGGCAATAAAGATGGGACTCCGCTCGAAGAACAAACTCTCCTTTGTAGATGGAACAATATAGATCTTTACTCTTGCTAATGCCATGTATAATGCATGGCAAAAGTGTAACATGATGATCCTTTCTTGGATTCATCGTTAAATAAATGACACTATTCTTCAATTGGTCCTATGGATCGAGAACGCTTTTGAGGTTTGGAATGATCTTCATCAGAGATTTTCGCAATCTGACGTTTTCGTATCTCTGATCTTCAAGAAGAAATCTACTGGATCCAGAAAGGAGAAAGAACGGTATAAGATTTCTATACTCATATCAAAGGTCTTTGGGATGAATTTGAAACTTTACAACCTCTCCTTACCATACCTGTGTTGTTCCATGTAATTGTGGAATAACCAATTGTGTCCGATAGGGAAGAGAAAATGATCGTACGATACGATTTCTTAGAGAACTGAACGATCAATTTTCAAACGTTCGTTCTCGTATCATGCTTACGAGGCAATTTCCTTTTGTTAATGAAATTTTCTCATTAGTAAGTCAACAAGAAAGGAAGCTGAATACTGAATCACAATTTGATTCGAGTGAGGAACACAAAGTTCTCACAAATAATGCAGCAATTCAACAAAGCTCCAACAATGGATTCACTGTGCGTGGTGGTAGGCAGCAGCTCCTTTCGTGGTCGAGGTCGAAATAATGGTGGTAGAGGACGTGGAAATAAATTGTGCACCCACTCTAAAAAGACTAACCACTCCAATCTTGGATACCAACAACAAACAATGAATGAGTCCAATGAAGTGCATGCCACCAATCCTACTCATACTCCCTCTGCAACCTTTAATACGACCTCATATAATTATTTCAATGTGATTTTTTCTTCATCGGGTAATATCTAAACTTGATGGCTTATAAATATTGGTGCAGACCATACAACTCATCTCTCCTCACATTTTCATACCATGTTAAGTGTTGAGAACCCTAACAGAGAACAGAGACACAAGGAACAGAATTTAAGAAATTCACAAGCACTTTATTAATCTCAATATCAATCTTCGATTACAGATGTCTGTTTTATAGGATGGCACCTCAACTAACAGAATGCACATTCCTAACCAATTGGCACATGGAAAGCTAACTAACTGCCACCTCCTATTACAATATCTCAGCTATTACTAAAATGCCCTTACTGATATACTAATATACAACTCACGGCTATTGATACACACAATTGCACATTTATACATTCACCACATAGTCCCTAGCCCACGCTGGAGCTCCCCTCTTTCTCTTGCTCGTAACATTGCCCCTGTCATCCAAATTAACCTTGTCCTCAAGGTTCAACTGGGGATAGTGCAGCTTAAGGTCAGCCTCATCCTCCCAAGATGAATCTTCTGGTAGAGCATGAGACCGTTGTATTAACCACTAAGAGCCAGTTTTATTCCTATCAGCTACCTGTCGAGACATCAAGGCTGCAATTGGTTCCTGTACAGGGCAGTTTCCATGATTTAACTCAGGTAAGGTTGGAATTAAATCATGATGATCACCCTTAAATGGCTTCAACACTGAAACATGAAAAAATGAGTGTATTTTACAACCCTCGGGTAGCTATAGTTGGTAAGCAACAGGTAGGGGTGTAAATGGGCTGGGCTGGGCTGGGCTTTGGCCATCCTGGCCCAAGCCTACGTCAAAAAAAATTTAGCCTATCTGGCCTATTAAAGGCTTTATTTGTAGGCCAAGCCCGGCCCATTTTCAAAAATAAGAAAGCCTGACATGGCCTACAGGCCTTGTAGGCCTCCCACTATATATACTAAGCAAAAAAAATAATTGTATAAAGCAAAGAAAGTTCCATTCATGCATGCACTAGTACTTCTCATAAGAAAAAAATGACAAACAAGAAAGAGTCAACATAATACCTCAGCTCTAGAATGTATATCATAGAGGAATAGAGTCAAAGAAATGGGAAAAATAAGAAAAATACAATTACTAGATGCTGAAATAAAGTCTACAAGAGAATGTCATTCATCTAAAAATCTTTAAACCACCATCAAGACAAGGGAAAGAAGAGTATTATTGAAAGATCTTCATCAGTAACATCATAATTCAGCAAGGTACTCATTGTTCCATGGTATTAAGTTGCAACAGCATGTAAAATTTGGAGACATTAGACAAGTTTTCCTTTCATAAAATAAAATAGCACAAAAAGTAAGAGATATTGGTATTTGGCACTTTGTGTCTTTGCCACATAAAATAAATATTATTTTATTATTTTATTTTAATAAATTAAATAGGCCAGCCTACAAGGCTGTAGGTCGGGCTTGACAAAATTGGCCTATGGCCTATTTATTAAAAAAGTTATTTTATAAGCCTAAGCCTACTCTACTTTTCTGAAAGGCTGGGCCTGGGCTGGGCTCAATGTAGGCCGGGCCGTAGGCTGGGCTGGGCAGCCTGGCCCATTTACACCCCTAGCAACAGGACTCGACTCGTATAATGGGAAAAAGGCCAAAATATCTTTTAGCCAACTTCTGATTGGACCTCCTTGCTGCTGTAAGCTGTCTGTAGGGTTGTAACTTCACAAGAACTAAATCCCTCACTGCTAAAGAAATATCCTTCCTATGTTTATCCGCTTGAATCTTCATTCTATTTTGAGCTCCTTGCAAATGATGCTTAAGTTGAGCAAGCAAGTCATTTCGATGGATTAGTGCTGTGTCCACAGCTTCTACTTGGACCAGCCCCTTAGGATAATAAGGAATTACGGTTGGCAATTTTCCATACAAAGCCTGAAAGGGACTCATACCAATTGAAGAATGGTGGGCTGTGTTATAGTGTAATTCAGCCCAACTCAAATAAAAAGACCACTTGTGATTCTCATGAAAGCAAAAGGCTCTAAGATATTGTTCCAAATACCTATTAGTCACTTCTGACTGCCCATCAGATTGGGGGTGATAGGTAGTGCTTGTATGCAACTTGGTTTCACTGAATTTGAACAACAAGGTCCAAAATTGGCTAAGGAAAACATTGTCTCTATCAGAGACAATAGTCTTCGAATACCCATGAAGTCTCACCACTAAATCACAAAATAAAGAAGCCATTTTAGCTGTTGTATAAGGGCTGACCAATGCACCAAAGTGTGCATATTTTGTAAGACGATCAACAACTACAAATATCACTGAAAAGCCTTGAGATAATGGCAAGCCTGTGATAAAATCCATGCTGAGATCTTCGAACACCCCTTCAGGAATTGGCAGGGGTTGCAATAATCCAAGAGGTGGTGTGGTGGCTGTTTTCACCATTTGACAAATTGAACAAGCTCTAATTAACTCAGTGACATCTTTTCGCATATGTGGCCAATAAAAGGAAGCGGATAGCCTTAATAGTGTACGGGTCACACCAACATGGCCACCAATTGGAATGGCATGTGCCTCCTGCAATAAAATCTGTCTCAAAACAGATTGTGAGCCTAGCATAAATCGGTGTTTATGATAGAGCACCCCCTCCTTGGCTGAAATATTAGGATCAACAGCTAAACCATTTTGCAACTTAGAATAGAGAGACAATAATTCTGGATCAGTGGCATTTTCTCCTTTAATTTGATCAATTATATCAAAAGTAACCTTTGAAAGTAATGTCATAACAGTACCTGATGTATCATCTTCATACATCCTAGATAAAGAATCTGCTACAACATTGGAGCTACAAGGTTTATATTCAATAATAAAATCATACCCCATCAATTTACATGCATACCTTTGCTGCTCCAAGGTTTGGACTGTTTGAGAGAGCAATTCCTTCAAGCTCCTATGGCCAGTCTTGATAACAAATTTCGAACCAAGCAAGTAGTGTCTCTATTTCTTAACAGCTTCAGTTACTGCAAACAGCTCCCTGACATAGGTGGATGCTACACGCATTCGAGGCCCCAATTTCTTACTAAAATAGGCTACAGGTCTGTTGTTTTGTAACAGGACAACTCCAATACCACCTGAAGATGCATCAGTCTCAATTACAAAAGGAAGAGAGAAGTCAGGAAGATTTAAGACAGGGATAAAGGACATAGTCTCCTTGAGCAATTTGAATGTTGTATCAACATCTTCATTCCATTTAAAACACTCACTCTTAAGCAAGTCAGTTAAAGGGGCTGCCAAAGTTGCATATTGGCGAATGAACTTTCTATAATAACCCGTAAGTCCAATGAACCCTCTCAATTGCTTCACATCTTTTGGTTGAGGCCATTCCATCATGGCCGAAATCTTCCTTGGATCTTCCTTGACACCATCACTCGAAACAAGATGACCCAAATACTCAATCTCAAGCAAAGCAAAGCCACATTTAGTAATCTTAACCTTGAACTGATTCTGTTTTAAGCATTCCAGAGCCAGTTTTAAATGGTTCAAGTG